GGATTTGCTCAAGTTTATAAATTTGACCGGTTGGTGTAGTACACATGAATAACCTTTAGTCTGCGTGTCAACAACGCTAACCGTTGTGTCACAACCTTCCATTATTAAATCTTAAGTAGGCTTTAAACATAAAGCTAGCACTACAGCCTAAACTTACAGTTTCTCCATCCATTTTTAATGTTTTCAGGGTAAATGTAAAATGAAACTGTTAAGTTGATTTGATTTTTGACAAAATCAAATTGAGTTTAGCATGATCGGATGAATTTCCGAATTCACATAACAATTAATTATATTTCTAGCTAACATTGTGTTAAAATATTTTTAAATAATAACAATTTTTAAATAATATACATACATGTATTATAACACCTAAAGAAAACAAAGCTTTAATAAATTTCTTGTCGATAATAAAATTTCATTTAACATGAATCAATAAGGTTTGCTATACAATATCTAATATACATTCAAGGCAGATTATAATACAACTTTTCGTTTAATCTGAAATGGCATAAATTATTTAATCTATTCACACAGCATAATTAAATATAATTTTATTCAATTGGCTTGTACAAGTAGCTTCATTGTAAAATTATACGAACTTTAGTCAAGGAAATTTATTAAAGTTGATTTAGTGTTTACATTATCGTTTCGGGTTTTTATTTTGACAATTGTTACATATTTTAATATATTAATGAGTAATCAGCTGGAAACATTATTATGAAAACCTGTGTTGTAATTATAAACCAATTCGATTTTGGTAATGGCATGAATTATTTAATGTATTCACACAGCATAATTAAATATAATTTTATTCGATTCGCTTCTTCAAGTCTTTTCGTTGCAAATTTATGATTAAATTGTAATTTGTAATAAATTGACTTTTGTGCGCATAAATTACAACCCTGGGCTGGTTGACCGAACTCCAATTTTTTTTTTTTAATTACATTATTTCTTTGACACATTTTAAAAGCACAACAAATATGAAGTCAATAAAGTTTTTAGTTTTAGTCTATGATTTTGTGAACCAATTAAACTTTGTACAAATTGTATATAATTCTCCAACTTATTTGTATCATTCATAATACAAATTGCTTGTAATAATTTTTTATATATGAGAAATTAACATAAATATATTATTTGATATTTTAATGAAAACGCATATTGTATGGATAATTGTAGAGTTTAAATTAGAAAATGTGCAATTAACTTTGACCTCCAAAATTACAGAGTAAATTCATTTTTTATTATTCACTATAAAAAATTATTTTGTTTGTTAAAATAGGTAAGTGCTAAAATTGGTATATTTTTATTCTTCTAAATTTTAATTTCCTAAAATCCTAATTTTTAGGTGTGAAGAAATAATCTGAATGTGCCACTTGTATAGTGGTTACCGCTCGTAAAATACAAGGATGAATGATATGGAAAAAATTGAAAAGGACACTATTAGTATTGAGAATGAAGATATTTGTTTTTGCTGCGGTGAAAGTCATGACATATTTCATGTAAGTTTTTCATAGTCTCTTAATGCCAACAATAAATAGTATTAATTGAATGAAAGAAGATTATTTGTGAATAATGAGTAACATTTGCAGTATATTTAATTAATAACACGACCAGGATAAGAGATTGAATACTTTAGTAATCGAATAATATATGGTAACTCCAAGGCCTTCTATTAGTATATTCATATATCGTTTAAGTTTAATAGTTTAATAGTTAGTTAAAAGTGTTGATCTCATTTAGAAATTAAATTGGTAGTATTTTACATAAAGAAGACCAAGACTCACACTGGACTGTAGTGCCAAATAAGTAGAAAATTATTTTATATGTTCGTCCTTCTAGTCTGTTGTGCCTGAAAATTTATTTAGAAATATAATTGTTTATTATTTAGAACTCAATTTGTAAACAAATTCCAGTATAAATAGCCCCTTTACTTGTTTACGCGAACCGTAGACATAATACTCCACTTTAAGGAAAAATTCAAATGAATTTCGTGTAATCGATAATATTTTTATAAATAATTAGTATATAAAATAAAAATAAAATATTTGAAATATCAAGTTTTTTATTTAAGTCTCACAAAAGCCTTTTAAAACATAAATAAGTTTTTACATTATTATACATTTTCAATTTCATTCATGTTTCATAATTTACTTTTACTACATATTTACAAAATGACGTATTAATGTACATATATATTATCATATATATTTATAAAGATTACGATTACAACAGCATCTAAATGAGACAGCCAAACATCTGTCTAATACATCTGGCCTGCTGATGAGACTTAAATGGACTAGCCTTCAGATCTACCCCTGAATTAGTACTCTAATAATAATTTTGATTACTACTCTACTAGCACTAAGTCTTTGACAACTTGACAATTCTAAAACGTATTCTGAAATATAACAACATAAATTAAACCGTTGTTAAATCTTTTTATAATTAATGTAGTAGGAACACGATAAAAAATGTTTTCTAGTATATCCCCCCTTGGTTCTTATTATACTCTTTTTATTATAAATAATTTTATGAACTGCAAAAACATTGCCAAAAAATATTTTCTAGTATAACGCCGTCCTTTTGGCACAAACCTGTTTAGGCTTCTAAGGCTAAAGTTCTTAAGCAGATTATATTATGAGATCACAGATGAAGCTCTTATACGAAACTAAATATGGAAAGGTTTTCAGTTTTATTAATAGATTTTGTTAGCAAAATTTTTTAATATAAAAATATTTCTTATATCATATTATTTCTCTTTTTAAGATGGGTCAAATAAATTGTTCGGATTGTACAAAATCATTTAAAACACAAATGGGCTACGAGCGACATATTTTTATAACGCATTCAGAATCCAATGAATTTTCTTGTTCTATATGTAATGCAAAATTGCGCACATCTGATTTGATGAGGTTGCATGAAGAAGAACACAAAAATTGTGGAAGATTTTATGGTTACAAAATGAGCGGCAAAGATTTTGATTGTAAATTTGAATTGAAATTCCATCAAAAGTCTACTTCCTGTTTGCTAAGTACAACTGACATCATCAGTAGTAGTAATGTGTGTAATAAAATATTTTTTCCTACAGACGATAAATCGTTAATTAAAGATGATACTACTGATATAAAATTTAAAGAAAATGAAGTATTAGAGATAACTACAGAGCAATCGTTATTAAATAATGAACTGTGTACTTCAATAGAAAATGAGAATATAAAAATAGAACCCAAAAATAGTATTTCTGAAAGTCTGTTGGACGTTAATAAAAACAACAAAATGTCGGTTGAAGATGACACATCTTTACAACAATTGAATGATAATGAAGTACCTACAGCAACCACAGAGCAATTGTTATTAAACAACGAATTATACACTATTATAACACTAGAAAATAAGAATATTCAAATGGTACAAAAAACTATTGTCCCAGGAGGTATAATTGGCGCTACTAATGAAGACAGAAAGCCTCTTGGTGAGGGAGTTGTTTCACAACAAATTCTCAAAAATGAAATATATAGTACTATTAAACAAGAAACTGATAGTAATAATATAGCAGCGGAAACACCTGCTCCTGAATGTTTAGTT